ATACGGTCACGCTCCGGTAAGAATGGTGTTCAGTGAAAAAAATAAGAATGCATCGTGACCATTGGATCAGATAATCCAACATCTAAAAAAAGTCAATGATTTACAGTCATTAAAGATAAATTGGACATTTTTTTCCCATTCATATTTTATGTAGGACCCACCACTCAATACTCTTCTCTCTTACGTCACACACATGGGCCCCACCTATACCCATCTCTCTCCCCTTAATTCCGAGCAGAAAGCGAACATACCATCTGCAACACAGAAATAATAATAATAATAATAATAATAATAATAATAATAATAATAATAATAATAATAATAATAATGAATCCAACAACCTCCTTATCGCCTTCTCCGTCGGCCTATGCCCAATTATCGGAGAAGGACGCCATATAAACGGCGTCGACTGACATGCGTCATTTTTACGTGCATTTTAGAGTATTTTTCGTGTTCGTTGCGTCGTAGTTTGATATATAACTATTTGTTTATTTAATTAATTTTATCAATCTATGATGAGGTGCTTTATTTTAAGTTTTTATAAGAAATAGGTTCGGAATAACCATTGGAGGTAAAAACGGCGCAAAACGAACAAAGACAGAAAAATGGACCGCGCGTGGTGGCAGGCCCAAATAGAGAACCCGTAAGACTATATTTATTGGTGACCCCTGCCATTGGGTCACCAATTAAAAAACAATAAAAAATGAGAAAAAAAAAATAGAAAAATCTGGCAACCCAGGTCAAATTGTGACCATGGGTCGCAACCTAGCCACGAGGGGAGAGAGAAAAATTAGGTGAGTGGAATGGGACACTTGTCCCATTCCTATTGGTCAATAAAATTTTTATATAACAACTCAACTTATTGATATTACTTTATATGAAAAAAATAAATAAAAATATCAAAATTCGTATTTTTTTCATTCTCTATAAATAAATAGAGATCACTCTTGATATATTTTGGAACATAATTGCAATTTCTCTCTTTTCACTCTTTTCTTAATAGTACCTTATTAATTTTATCATATCATTTATTTCTCCTAACTTGTTTAATTTATCTCATACCGATGTAATTTCAATTTTTAATTGAGTTCATAATTTTTTTTAGTTGCATGGTAAAATATTAATGTTTTGAAATCATTAGGACTTTATTATATATTTTTATAATTAATTTATCACAACTAAAACAATAATAAAAAATTTATTGTGGATGATATTTAAGAAATAAATATATATAAATAAAATAAATATTATAATGGGTTGAGTTAGGTTGAGTTGAGAATAAAGATATGTAGGTTGTTAAAAGTTGGGTTGTGTAGGTGGAAGAGAGAAAAATAATTTTTTATTATTGGGTTGGGTTGGGTTGTGTTGGATTGTGAATAAATATAGTCTAAGATAAGAAAGATGGCCATGAGTTAATGTTATTGGCATGAACATCATAAGCCCAATTATTTACTTAAGTGGGGGCATAGTAGTAATTTAGCACATGTAGCAAAAAGATTATAGGGGTAGGCCAAATATTTCTTCCAAAATTGTGGCTCAAAATAAATCCAAACGAGTTAGGTTTGGACTCGGATTTTGACCCAACTCGTGTGAACCTATTGAGATACACTATGACTATGTTTGGTAAAACTAACTGATAAGCTAGTTTATAGCTTAATAATAATTTTTTTAGCTCAGAGCTTATAGCAAATGACTTATAGTTGATAACTAGCTTATATGATAAAAGAGTTTGGTAAAATTAGCTAATAACCTAGCTGGAATAAAAAAAATTTAACTAGCTTATTTGAAAAGCCACCTAAGGAAGCTTATCAAATAAGCTCGAACTTTTTAAAAGCCCGTCCTACCAAACGAATATTTGAATACATAGAGCTTATAAGCGAACCAAATAAGCTATAAGCTAGCTTATTTGTCTACCAAATATAACCTATATCTTGACATGCATGTTCTCTTCCTGATCTTTAATAAGTTATCAGGTGGAGTAATTGTGTGTGAAGACCTGAAAACAGTCTGACCGTTTTGATGTCCTTTACAATAGCAGTCAGTGGGTTATTACCAGCCTTAAGTGACAGTTGCTCATGGTTTCCTTGCCTGAGTTGAAACATTATAAATAGAAGTTCTTAGGTTACAACAAATGCACATAAACACACATCATCTGCATTTTACTCTCTGAAAGCCTCACACACCATATTGAAAGTGTGCTTAGTTCTCGACTCTATTCTAGTTCGTC